CATTATGAATCATACCGTTAAGACTATATTTCAGCTCATATTCCTCACCATTTCTTCTATTTGCTTTCAAAATGAAATTAAATTGTTTAGATTAAAGCATCGTTCTTATCCACAAAAAAGTCTGAATTCGCAAAATAACAGACGTTTGATATTGCGAGGGCCCGGCGACCCCAGGCTCGGGAGCCGTGGCGGTGCAAATTCTACTTAGGATCAGCAAGGGAAGACAAGGCTTATGGCATTCATGGATTTATCTTTTTCAGCGACCGGGCGCGAAACCAGCTGGGAGCCCCGTTATGGTTGTATGCTGAACTCCGGCAACTGCATATGGGGTGAAATTATTGAATGGCTGTAATCATATCACTCTATTATCATAATTTTTGTTGCCATTGATTAGCTGCTGCCGATAACTGCACAGAGCGGAAATAATTGCCGGGGTCGGCTCACTCTGGCGGCCGAACGCTCGGGCCCCTGGCACCGCTGTCCTGGGGTCGAGCTCACTGTCGCGTTTCGTATCCGGACAAAGAGATAACCCACATAACGACCGATAAAATATGGCAGTTTTCATATGTCCTCGAATGGTATAGAGCCACATTTGAATTCTTGAGATAAAGGCTGAAAAGGCATCTATATAAAATTCTCCAGCGTTAAGAAGGGATGGAAAAAATGTAGGAAAAAAATCAAAAGCCGAGGACATACAAAAATGGAAAGCGAAGAATGGAGAAACACGGAGGAAAACTGAAATGAAAATGGGTGTTGCATTTCAAAGAAGTTCGCGTACTGCATGACGGGCCCATCCCTTACAATGGAACGGATGACCCCCCCCCCCCAAATGCCATAAATGGGAAAACAAAGAAACAACGACGAAAGCAACACATAAACCAAAACAACAAAGTAATCACTCGCACAGAAATGCAGACGAGAAGGAATCATAAGAATTAAAATTCAGTGTTGCTGTCGCAGTGTCCGTCTCGCCGGAGAGCAGAATTCGCGAATTCATGTGTTATGTTAATCACGTTGCTGATTTACAACTGGGCTCTTTATGCATAATAAGAATGATTGTATGGTACCACTCTGATTATTAAAAAAAAGCGTTCTTTACTTAGCTGGAAGAATCCACAGAGATCTTATAAAATCATTCTATTCTTTAAGGTTATGAATTGAAAACATATATATATATATATATATATATATATATATATATATATATATATATATATATATATATAATATGATAAAAAGATGTAGAACCAGTGTTACTTGATGTTTACTTGATCAGACAGTATTTTCAACAGACAATTCAACGAAAAAAATCAAAGAAAGAGAAAACAGACTTTAAAAGTTCGGTCTCGAATACCCGATATACAGCATCACGTTATACAGATAATGAAGCGGTTTGTTACGTTTAAGAACAGGTTAGTTTACCGTAGAAAATGGCACAACTTTGGAGCGAAATGACTCTGCTAAAACATTAGGCCTCGTTTAGACTCTAATAAGTATACAGCCACGGTAATAAGTGTCATAAAACGCTGCCCATTTGCAGTAACTGCCTGTTAAAGGGTGATCTGATATCGCGAGCGTTTTCTTTATCGCTACATTTACAGCAAAGTATAATCATGCTGATATTGCCCTCGCGCTTATTGTTATGAATTTCTGCGCCTGCTCTCGCGCGACCCAACTTGGTGCCAAATGCCAATCAGCCTCTGTACTGATCAAAAGGATATAGTTCAGATATTTAATCCAAAGAGAAAAATGGCGCTTACTGAATCGTTTAACGGAGTTTTCCAAATTTTGCCTCTCCCCTGCTCTCTTTTTTTCCCTCTCTCTCTCCTTCCTTCTTTCTCTTCCCCCTTCCATTCTTCTATCTCTCTCTTTCCCCCCCCCCCCAAATGCCATAAATGGGAAAACAAAGAAACAACGACGAAAGCAACACATAAACCAAAACAACAAAGTAATCACTCGCACAGAAATGCAGAGAGAAGGAATCATAAGAATTAAAATTCAGTGTTGCTGTCGCAGTGTCCGTCTCGCCGGAGAGCAGAATTCGCGAATTCATGTGTTATGTTAATCACGTTGCTGATTTACACTGGGCTCTTTATGCATAATAAGAATGATTGTATGGTACCACTCTGATTATTAAAAAAAGCGTTCTTTACTTAGCTGGAAGAATCCACAGAGATCTTATAAAATCATTCTATTCTTTAAGGTTATGAATTGAAAACATATATATATATATATATATATATATATATATATATATATATATATATATATATATATATATATATGATAAAAAGATGTAGAACCAGTGTTACTTGATGTTTACTTGATCAGACAGTATTTTTCAACAGACAATTCAACGAAAAAATCAAAGAAAGAGAAAACAGACTTTAAAGTTCGGTCTCGAATACCCGATATACAGCATCACGTTATACAGATAATGAAGCGGTTTGTTACGTTTAAGAACAGGTTAGTTTACCGTAGAAAATGGCACAACTTTGGA